AATCAAAACATGAATTTCTTAACTACCCTCTATATCCTACATTTTCAACTTCACCAACAACAGTGCCTGCACCCATTGTGCGAAGTATGTCCGTCCGTAAAAAAATAAATAAATACAAATAAACATCATTGTAAAACCAATACATTCCTCGCTTCGCTCAGAATCTGAACAAATCATTCGGTTAAAGAATATAGTTAAATACTCACCTCCATGTAATTTTTAAAATTTCTTAATTTATAAATTTCAATAAATTTACCATAAACTCAACCGTGGAGTCGCAATCGTGGAAGTTCGGAATACATTTGTTACTAAAATACTGTATTATTCGCGACTACGCGAAACAGACAGAAAAAACAGAATACCGGCATAGAAGCCCGTTAATAGAATAAACTATTTTAGTGTTGATAAAAATAATTAAAAAGACATATTTGTATACGCAGTCGCCTCGTCGTTACATTTCTACTGGATAATCAATCTATCATAAGACACTCATCGTCTCGGAAAGTGTTAATATATTTCCTAGAAAATTTACGAAACAGGCAGTTCTACAATTGTATACTTTCGTTATATTCTGTCACCCTTATTTTTAGAGGTAAAACCACTATTTACTTTTGATTTTCAAATGACAAGGTTGAACGGAAAGGAAAGGATAAACGAGTTTTTAAGTGAAGTACCTAAAAGTACGTATATATAAATCCGGTCATCGTTGTTGATGATGATTATCCAACTGTTTATGAAACGGTTTAAATATTATCAGAATATAATAAAATACATAATATTTCAATGAATAACACATAGGCGCCTATTTATGTGTCAAGTATACATTATAAATACTTTGAATTGAACACAAAGTTTTGCGTTTGATTTTTGTCGGGAAATATCGATTTAAAACGTTATTAAAGTCCGGGTTATATGCCGTGTTATAGGTATAGCCGTTTAGACGATTATATAATATATATTTTCACTTAAAATGTCTACACGTCTAAAACCCTATAAAGTATGTACACGTTTTTCACGAGCCATTAGATTTTCATTATAATAGTTCATAAAATAAATATGTATAATTTTAAGTCGTTAAAAAAAGCCGGTACTGTCGCCAATGGGCCACTGTTGTAGGTGGGAAGTTGGGAACGTAGGATGCATAAAGTTGTTTAATTTATATCTGTACGCAACGACAAACCATTACGAATGAAAAAATGATTTCGAACCAAGTTAAACGTTTATTATAAACTACTGTATTACGCTTAACATCTTTTCTTTGACCGTAAAGTCAAATTTATAATGAACCTCGTATTCAATTTTCAGGCATTTATATTTGGCCATAAAATTTTATCTACATTATACTAAATAGAAACTAAAAAAAAACTAGATAATGTCAAATATATATATAGATACCTAAAATATCCCTAGAAAGTTTTAAAAAGCTTACTACCTCTAGAAAAGGCTTTAGTAAAAAGGCTTTTTTAGTATAAGTATCTTGTACACATTTGCAACAGAAAAACAAAATTGAAAATAATGAGACCGTACATGCAGTAAATGTTACCGCTCTTCTTACATTTTTTCCAATGTTTAAAAAAAACCTACCCGTAAAATCAAATTTTCTTTCAGATAAGATACTATTATTTAAATTTGGAGTAAAATTTATGATACACAACAAAATCTAATATGAATTTTAATAAGGCAATTTTTATTGCCGTTTATTTTTCCATTTTTTTATACGTGTTTTTTTTTTTCGAGTATTCCATATATTATAAAACCATTTGGAAAATCAAAATAACCATGAAGGGGTCTACATGCGCCATGCACCAACTATAAATCCAAAATACAACGAAAAAAAGTTTCTCGTATTTTTTTGTTTGGAATAAGATTACAGGTAGAAAAATTGCTTTCAAACACAAAAAAGGTAAACGAATACAATAAAATAGAATGCACACATCATAGTAAAACTGATAAATTTCTCTCCCCACTCACAGTCTAAAAAAATCAGAAACATGAATTATTTAAAACCCTCAGTAAAATATTATAATTTAAACTCGAGCTTAGTTATAACTTCTATTGGAAAAGAAAATCACATTTTAATTAAAAATATCGGAACATTATACTAAAAACTTGTAGTAATTATTATTTGAACAAAATAACGATTGCCAATACTTAAAATAAACAATACTACAGCATATAATTTATTATTAATCAAACTTATACAATATAACATTGATATCAAGGTTTAAATTTATAAGAGAAACCCATTTCTGTAACTTATTTACTACGGTTCGGTATATAATTAATTAATTTGTTTGCTTTAAACTTAATCAAATACGTTTAATTTTATACAAACTTTAATATAATTGGTTTTGTGTACCAAAAGTTTTCGCTAAAATCGCATGCAACGAAAAAAAAAAAAAAAGAGAAAAAAAAAATCTCATAGGAACTCTCTCATTCTAAGAGAGAAACACTATCTGTATAGATATACTTCAGCGCGTATTAATTTATAACGAGTCTCGTGACGGTGGAATATTGTTTTTCGAAAATAAAACTTTTACACCTTCGAACACGCACTTCCGATAAAACTTTTTTTTTGTTTTTATTTTTCTTGGCGACAGTTAATCGTTTTCGTATAGGTATATATACCTATACAGAAACCAGAAAATTGCGATTGTTTAACGAATAACGAATATCAAAAAAAACAAAATAAAAACAAAAACAAAAAAAAAAATCATACCCAGTTTTAGTAGAGTTTTGAGGAGCGACGGTAGCAACCGTCATGATGGCAGCGGACAACAACAAATTGTTAAGCGACGATGCCGGTAAGCGAAATATTTAAAACGATGAAACTTATATATTATTATATAATTATTATGTACATGTTTTATATTGTTAGTCAATAATATTTCTTATAAGATGTGTAATAAGGAAAAAAAAACACTTATTTTATTGGATTTTTAACGCGTTTACAAAATACGAAAGCCATACAAATACGTATGTTTTTTTTTTTTTTTTATACATATGTACTCGTATATTTATGGTTTTCTACTTGATTTACTTTGAACGATATATAACGGAGTGAAGTAAATTGATTAAAAATTATTAACCTAGAACATATTGTAGATTTACAATAATTACCATAATTATGAGGGTTATGGGTATGAAATATTGAAAAACAAATTTTTTCGCATTAAATATTTATTTATTAATTCGGTTTTGTTATGTGGCATTTTAGAACCCTAATAATTATTGATTATTAGTTTAGCCGCTCACCTGATTTGAACTTTATTTTAGACAAGTAATCGCAGAAACCAACAATTATTAATTGTTTAAATTAAATTTATATAAAGAACGTTGGAACGATGGCCAAGGAGAATAAGAACTGATTCATAAACAAAATTGTTTAGTTTTTTTATTTTTCAATTTATAGATTAATTCAAAATATAATTAATTTTGTGTACCTAATCACCAGCCGCCCGGTGAAAAAATGTGATGTAAACAAATAATGTGAATTCATTTCTGTAATGGATTTTTGAAAAATATTTAGAACACATACACAATGGAGCGTATTGCCAAGACGATTTTTTGAAGGCTGTGCCTCGTCCTAAATTGGTTGTTCGGCTAAGGATATATGATGCACATTTATACCTATATTTTAATAATTGTCTTAGATAGTAAACAAATTAAAATATCTTTATTATCTACTATAGTTGTGTGTATTACATTTTTGTTATCTGAAAACAATTTTTTGTTAAAAATGTGTTTTTAACGACGGGCACAACAATGATGCAACTATATTATTATTAATATTTCAGTTATCATTTATCAGTATATACGATCGTCGTATACTGTTTGATGCCTGCGTATGGTCTAATTTTATAAAAGACATACGCTATCAGTACCATAGCTAGAACAATTTTTCGGGAGGGGGGATTTTTTTTTATCTAATTTTTATTAAACTAGAATAATTATCACCTATTATTTTTTGACTGCCTCATTACTTTTATTTATTATTTATACCCTCTTAGTTTTACAACGTAAAGTTAAACAGAATCTGTAGCCGTGTAGGAATATATATGAACCAATAATTTTAGTAAGGGGACATGTCCCTAAAATTTACTTTTAAAGAGTACACAAACAACTGTCTAGGCAAGATTGAGAATCAGCTAGGAAACATTGGCAGCTATTTTAAATCGTTGAACATCTTACCTTTTTGCTTTTAAAACACAGGTATGGTAATAAAACATATTTTTCTACAATGAAGAATCTTATATTCTTTTTAGCAATTCGAAAATGTAATGAACTATTTAGTTATTTATTTAATATTAAAGTGTGTTATTTAAGTTGCTTGCAAGTTAGCCGTTCGTAATTTTATCCCGAAATTCCGAAACAAAATATTTTGGAATGCAGAGCTTCAAAAGTTTCAAATTATTAATTTTTGAATTCATTATGAGAATCTTTTGAGTGTACAGCTGCTTTATGGGTAGCTTGATTGGCGGAATACTTTTTTTTTTTTTTTATAATTCACGAATATTTTAAAATCAAAAAGATTGAATAATATTTTTACAACACAAACTCAGAAATATACCGATTATACATTTAATATTAATTGATTACAAATTGTTGGCTGTTAATGATGAGATCTGAACCATAACCTATAAGTAACTTTATAAAAAAATTACGGTGTCACAATAATTTATTAAGATATTTAGCCGTTGATATTCCCATTACGGTTTGATGGACTAGTTCCATTTTTACATAATATATGTACCTATTCAAAGTAAATAAACATAAATCCGGTAATAACTCCATTTCGTTAGAAATTGGACATGTTCCCTCTCTACAATTGGTGTTTTATAACTATGCGTACGCAATATTGTTAAAAATTATATAAAAAAATATTTTAGGAAACCATATCGCAATATTGAATGTAAACGACGAACGGGATGGCCACTGCCGCCGTTGTAATTAAACTATTATCATGGAAACCTAAAGTAAATAATAATTATTTGTACAGTATTATAAAGTTAAACGCTATACTATCTGCAGCAGCCCCGACTAGCTGACACGTCAAATATCTACTGCACATAGCGTATTTCACCCTGGACTTGGAAATTTGACGTAACGCGTGTAGTATTACAATAGTTTCTTGGTGGGCCTTAGGCAAAACACGAGATGAGATTTTGCGATGTTGGCGTCAAAAGGACTATTATTCCTACTTTATTCATACTGTTATACATGCATATAGTAATATGTGTATGTTAGCCACCGCATTTGAATCGTTGTTACAATATTTTTTTATATAATATAAACACTGCACATAAATTGGTTATTTATAAAATAATTATATTATACACGGTCGTCGGCCCGACCATGTTGAACATTATTTTCGGATGTATTTAGAATACGTTTATGAATACTTATTTATACAAGTATTATTTGATTATAAAGTCATTACGAGTTAATGAGAAAAAAAAAATTGCATTATAAAAAAAAAATCTTAAAAGTTGTCCGCAGAAAAATAAATGGAAAATAAACATCATTGACCATAAACTTCTTCGCTCCACTCAGAATCTATAAGCATTTTTAAAGTATTCAAAATATATCCATTAAAAATTATTTTTAAAATACCAAACCAGTTTTTAAATACAAATATTCGAATACTTAACAAGGCTGTATGCAGTATAATAAACGTGAATTATTTTATCAAGAAACATTTAATGAGCGTAATGACTTTTATTTTAAATAAATAAATTACGATTAAAAAATATTATAATATTTATCTATTATAAAATCGTTTATATTTAATGCGCATATTAATATTATTATTTACAAAACAAATTCATCAATTCAATACACAAAACGACTGTTTACACGTTATTTTTTCTTCTAGAAATTATATTAATATTTGTATTCGACTTTCAATAAACTATCGAACGCGTATAATCTCTAATCACAACATAATTTATTATACTCTGTAATAATTAAATCAATATTCATACGCGGTGTACTTCGTTTTGAATTTTGACCAAGTCATATATTACAATAACTATTAAAACTTTTTTAAAAAAAAAAAAAGAAAAAAGAACACTTAAATACCTAGTCGTAAACACAGCGTCATATTATTGTTATTATTTTTAGATTACTGTGCACAATTTTAATATTCTTCTACAAAAAACACTATTAACTATAACAACATATTATACAGTGTTTGTACACAGTCCGAATCACATCGTTGTAAATTTTATAATTGTCCACATAATAGTTAAATGTTTTAAACGATAATACTATACGCGATGTCTATGTTATTTCTTCGTTCTTTTTCTGACTATTGACAAACCGATTTAAAAAAAAAAAATATTTTCAAAATTGAAGTGACTAAATAAAATTCAATTTAACGTAAATTCCTGTTTTCACCCTTGCTTCTATCACAGCTAGTTAACCGTTATTGTACTTCCTTGCCGATGACAACTAATTAATTAATTAATTTTAAAGTCTGAACGAAGCGAGGAATGTATTTGAGCGAAGAAGTTTATAGTTTTACAAAGATGTTTATTTTTAAAAATTTTTTTTTTTATATGTGTGCTACTTTTCTACAAGACTTACTCGGATTTCTAAGTAAAGCACTTTTCTGAAAGAAAATTGGTGTGTGGAGGTACTTTAAAGGGATCATTTTACAGTTTTCTCATGAAATTTGGAAAACCGTAAAAAAAAAATCGGGAAAATGTACAAAATATATTACTTAAGTATTACGATTTTTTTTTTCTGTGCACAACGTTTCTACCAGCAATTTTGCTCTAACTTTTAATGACAGCAATGTTTCTAAAAGGAAATTTCAATAGCGGGGTACTTCAAACAAGTCATTTTTCGATTTTCTCAAAATTTTTCTCAGAAAATGTGAATAACTAGAATAAAACATGAGAAAACTGGGAAAACGTAGAAAAACTGGATATATCGGTACAACAGTCAACATATATTATTTAAGAAAATCCATAATGCCTATTTAATTATTTTACCTTAATATGACATATTTATTATTGATAAATCATCATAATCAACTGAACTCCGCTCAGAATAATATCAAATTATCTATAACAGCGGCTGAACCCGTTCCCATTATCCTATCGTCTTTTTTTATTTAATTTTTTTCCATCACATTTTTTCTATTACAAATTTTGCTTCGATTTTCAAGTGCAGTACACTATTTTAAGGAAGCCATTTTTTTTTATTTTTAATTAGTTTTCAAAATAATTAGAAAAACGAGAAAATGTACGAAATATATTATTTTCAAATCGCAAATATTACGGCCTTTTAAAGCATATAAAACCAAACTTCTTTCAGAATTGTTTTTCGATAGCAATGATTAATCATTGCGAACATGCATACGTTGAATTTTCCATCTACCTTCCCAACTTCTCACCTACAACAGTGGCCCACCTATTATATGAAGTATGTCTGTTTGTTTTTTTTTTTTTTAACTTTATTTTTAATTCTATCCGTGTTACCCAAAAATAACTAGAACTCTAAAATAAGAAAATCAATGTTCGTATCGAAAACACTTTTCTGAGCAACCCTTAAGGATTTGAATTTCGGAAATCCGGCTTCAAAGTTCCCGTTTTTCCACTTCTGTATGTGAGTTTTCAAACTTCTTCGTGCAATAGACACGACTATGGATTGTGTACAATCAGACAAACAAACAAACAAACTAACACTTTTTATTAATACTTATATAGAGCACGTTTATGTAATGGCGTTTTCATAATGAAAACGGTATGATGGTTTTAAATTATTTTAAAGTGTTAACATGAAGTTAACAAAAATAAGTTTTAGTTTAAAAACGATTTCATTTCAAACGGTTTTAACGCCCTCATATGAGAGTCAATATTTGATAATCAATTAAATGATACGCTTATGCAAGAGCTTTACCAGTTTATAAACATTATTTTTTATTTTTAGAAATATTAAATCTTTTACTTCAGTCGGATTTATAATTCCGGTTTCTATACTGCGTAAAAGATCTAAGAAAAAAAAAAAATACAAAAATAGTTGACTGCTAACATGTTTAATTATTACATTTTAAATTATAGAATAATATACGTAAGCATTGAAAGGTTTCCAAAAACGTACACAATACATTCATAAAGATTTTTATTTGGACTGTTTAAGCCTACTATAAATACTAGCTATAGATTTCTGTTTGGATATTAATACATCATTTGCAATCAGTGACGTTTCCAGGAATTTTAAATATGAAGTTATGTTTTGAATAATAACCATGATTCGTGAATAAATTGTAGAATATTTTTCTGTTCAAAAATTCAGTTTTCAATCAATAAATCGAGCTTATAGATTCTGGATGGATTATTAATATAATGTATTATTTTCAAACCGTAAATATTAAGGTCTTTCGAAATACGTGTAATCGAACTTCGCTCAGAATCGTTTTTTCGTTTGCAATGATTAATCGTTAAATATCCTCTCTACCTTACCAACTTCTCACCTACAATAGTGGCCTACCGATCGTACGAAGCATTTCAGTTTGATTTTTTTCTTGTAACTTACACGCAGCAATATAATATAATCTATATCTAATAACAAAATGACTAATTAGGGAAACGTTCAAAATCCCGACAGTTGAAATCGTGACAAAGTTAAAAGTCCAACAGAAAATATCCCCTATATGACCCCTAAAGTTACACTGGTTATCAACTTGTAAAAAAAAAAAAAATTAATAAAACTCATAATCTTATACAATAAAATCAATACATTTAATAACTCGTCTCATTATAGTTGTTTACAGTACACATTTTAAGTATAAAATAAAAAATATATAAATATTACAAAAAAAAGTGCCTTCAATATTGGTACCGACCACGGAATGTAACAATAGGTATTTCGACCAATTCGGGATTTTGAACCGAATCCATGTTCTAAATATAATCGCACTCAGATCTATAATACATCTTGTTTTGTTTTAATATTATTTTCAGACCGTGTAATGTACGCGAGAAACCAACAGTACAAATACAGCAAGGAACCGGTAACGGGCGGTCAACCGATAACTGCAGAACAAGCGAAAGTAAAATAAATTTAAATTTAAAATGCTTATAAAAAATGTGTTTAACAAAAAAAAAAAAAAAAAAAATGTAATTTTTCGACTGCCAAAAGGTTAATAATATAAGATTTAAATCCTGAGGTTATCTGCGATTCGGTACATTAGGTATTCCAATGCGATTTCCTTAAAATCGTGATATATTTTATTATAGTACCTACCTGTTATTTATATTAGGTACAGATACTTTTTACAGAAAGGGATTCGTTTTGGGATTAATTTTTATTCGCGTATAATATTCAAACCGTTTAATCGCGGGTTTTAACCGTTTCGGTTATTTTGTTAGATGGTATACTTTTAATGATATTCACATATATATATTTACATATATATATATATTAAACCCGATTGCTATCTCTGATTACGCTCTCCGTTTTCGATATTTTATAGTATTAAAAATATACCTATAATTTATTAATTTTTAAGTTTTTTATTATTAATTTATTTTATGTGTTCTGATTTCGTTTTAACAGACGTTAAGATTGATCGTGTTTGGTGCTTGTGACACGCCACCCAGAGGCGAATGGCTGCGCACCGGATTCGTTTTTAGAGACGCCGAAAAAGAACTGTCGTACGGCCTACGAGCGCGCAGAAACGGCACCAGAGGCATGCTGTCAGCGATACAAGGATATATCCTCAAACATTTGCTATTCACCAGCGCCAATAACGCGTAATATGGTTGAAAAGATAATAATACTAACATTATAATGATGCAAATTTGCAAATATTGCGTACCTACCGGTCGGTTTAGAACGTTTAATAAATTAGGCACCCAATTTGGAGGGTCGAAATATATTAATAGTTTTCTTAAATTTTAGGTTGTTAGACGCTGAAAGATTATACAAGTTAAAAATACGTTATTTTCTTCATTGCAAAAACATTTGCTAATGACAATAAACAGTCTTCTGAACTTACTTACTGAACTTAATCACTTAGTTACCAATGTTCATTTTGGTCATAACCGATTTATACAACCACCTTGGATTTAAATATCTTAGTCTTTTTACTTGTGAAGTAAAAATTTAAATGCTCTAGTTGGTTTTGTATTTTCAGTTACTGAACTTGACCATGAATTCATAAGTAATTCGAGTTTTTTAAAATTGAGTTTTCGGATTAGTCTGGTAGATTTTCGAGGATTAAATTTTTAAAAAGAAGTACTGAACTCTTGTAAATACATAATTAAATCATAATTGCTTATTGATTTACTGTAGATGCATGAAACCGTCCAAACAACAGCAACTGGATGCTTTGTGCAAATCGCTAACCGAAATTTTGTGGAAAATCGGCGAAAACGAAAAAGTTGTTGTGTGTTTGCCGCAAGATAAGAGTTACGTGCCGCATTCATTAAACTATTTTCAAGATAACGTGACCGAAAAAGTAAGGACTTACTATGTTATTTAATTATATTCGGTAGGCTTTTGTAGTTAAGCAATAGTGGACGGATAATAGTCTCGTGACGTCTCTAATCTAGATTAATTTTATGAAAGTTTTAAATAATTAGGTTTAATGATAGTTATATTAAAATTATATTAATGTTTTTAAATTTTATTGAATTACAGAACAACGACTATGCTATTAGGGTATTTAGAGTTTTTATTTAATCTCAATCATGTCCAATCGAAACTTTACGTTTTACTAAAAGCAAAACTCTACCTATAGTTGTCGATGCTTGATTTTCAAAAAAAGGAACATTTATATTTCAATCAATATTTTTAGTTTGTAGCCTGTAGACAGGGACAGATCCGCTGGGGTCTAAAAGCCCAGGCTCCCCCCAGACATATTATTTCTCCATTTTTTTTTTTTTTTTTATAATTTTATAGATCCTGATATTACTATATTACAATCACATAATTTAATATATGATAAAATAATAAATTATATTATATTTTAATTTTTTTTTGTGTTATAAAATAATAGCTGGACCCCCAGATTTTCTCTGGATCCGTACCTGCCTGTAGGTGTATAGCTGAAAAAATATATTCTATATTGAAATATGAGTACGCACAGCTAGTCTTATAACGATAGTATTTAATATTAAATGTAGGTATTTAATTAAATTTATATTTAACTATAATTAAAAATAAATAAACAATTATAATGACTAATGGTATTTTATTAAATAACACAAAATATTTCATTTGAATACAATTTTAATGACCAATTATAATTTCCTCCTTTCCCTAAATGTATTTTCATTTATTTTGGGGTTATTTGTTAAAACCACGTTTTCAAAAAGGAAAGGAAAAATTAAAACCCCCAAATAAAACTTACCATCGACTTACTCCTACAATAAATTCTGGATGTCTTATTAATAATAATTATAACAAAAATTAAAATGAAAACAAATCTGAGAGAGGGGCAATAACTAAAAATCTCTCTCTAGGATACGCCACCGATTGAAATACTTAGCTATTATTATCAAGTATTATAATGCAACTATGTATAACACTATATACAATATACATATATATTAAATAATATATACTTTATATATCTTCAAAATGAAGCTGGTCGTCAGTACGAATCATGTCAAACTCGAATTTGTTGTATTTTATTATTCATTAAAAACATGGTAATAGTAATTTCAATATTATGGAATATTAATAAATAAATATATAACTTTGGTTGATTATTTAATATTTAAAATATATTATACTTTCAATCATATATTAATATTTCATAATTTTCAAGTAACTTTTTGTAGTATTGGGGGGTGGGAGTTAGATAATATATACATGGAATATTTATTTGTCATTTGGGGATGTCTTGAAATCCTCACTATGAGCAATATGACGTGTTTGTAATAGGTATATGATCGGTTTTATTGGACCTTTTTGGCCACTTTGTCGATGAACGAACCGTATTGATTGGTATTTAAAGGTCACACAGTTATAAACTTTTGAGTTTGAGTGTGGGTGTATCTACATACATTCAGTGAAAGTTGGAAACGAAGACAAAAGGGATCCCATAATTCTTTGGTTTCGAAATAGTTGTCATATGTATGAGCAAATTTAAATATATGTATGGCTTTTTACCAAAACCACTTATTATTTCGAACGTAGCTGCACTTACACGAGTTAAAACGACGGATATTTTGTTTCACGTAAAACAAAATACCTATATAAAGACAATATGTTAAAACGTAATGACTGGCGAGTTGTCCAAGAGCGTCTGCAGTGCATATTCAAATACTTATGAAAATCATGTTTAATTAATTTATACAGTTGCACTTATTTGAGCTGACCAACATAGAAGACCTAGAAATATTCTTGAAGAGATATTTACATCTGGTCAGTATTTTAATAATCACTAGTAATATCTTCAGGGGATTGGTGACGGTATATACTGTGATAGACTTAAAAGCTAGACAAAACCGGAGTAATTATTATGCTTGGCGTATTTCAATTCTGAAAACGAATTATGATTTTTTAGATTTTTTATTATTAGAGTACCTATATTGGAAATAGAAATTTTGAATTTTACTTAAAATCTTAAACAAATTTGATTGTATTTTTGAAAGATTTTTAAAAATGTACTTCAAGTATTTTGTCTTTTATTATTTTATGAATTTATGATATTAAAATTAAAAACGAAATTTCAACGTATCCTAGTTTAGTAATACGTTACCAAAATTAAAACTCGTTAAATGCGATTTTGACAGTATTATCTGGCTTTTTAGTTTAAAACGTTATATTTGTAAATGCTTTATCGTTATATTTGTAAATGCTTTATCATTAAATTTAAACAAAAATGTCAAATTTTACGTAGTTGGAGAAAATACAGAAACCGTCACCAAATCCCTTTAAAGTGACTCTCATCAGTCGATCGTATAAATAATATCTATGTTTAGTTTCAAGACGATCCCGGACCCGGATCACTGTTGTTGCTGTACAGTTCGGTGCTAACAAGAGGATTATCCAAGTAATTTTTGTTTTTTTTTTTTTTATTGATTATATTTTTAAAATGTAGCGGCCAAGTGTTTCCAAGTTTTTTTAGTACCGAATTGCTGTTAAAAATATTCCTAAAAACTGTCAACCTTATAAAGTGCATAATATAATGTTAACATTTTACAAATAATTATCGTCGTTGTAAAAAGTCACTACGTATTTATATTATTATAGTACATTTAAATTCGGTATAGGTGCGAATATATATATATATATATAAAAACGAGTTTTTAATTATATTGTGCCATAATTGCAAAAAAAAAAAAAATGATTTACTTTGATCAATTAGGTATAATATAGTCGTTTGAAGTTTTTTTTTTATTATGAAAATTGTTATTAGAAATTATATTACCTACGCGTTAGCGACAGCTACACGAGCGCTTTTACCTAATTGTGATAATATTTGACAAACAACTACGTCGGCACCGACCGTCTTACAATTATTCGTTAACTTTTTACAATATTGCATAAAACATGGTTGCATTATCCGTGCGTCTTAAAATAGTTACTTATAAAAAAAAATCCGATGCTGCTGATGGGTGTGTAACGATAAAGTTATAGATAAATATAAAGTTAACGATAAATCACTGCTAACGAAATACGACTTTGAGCGAAGTTTACTTAAACATGTTTTACAGTGCCATAATTTTTACGATTTTTGTCAACATTTAAAGTTAAAAAGCATACAAAAAAACTACATTAAGTTCAACCTCTCAGAAGACTGAACAAATATAGAAAACAAAATACACTCAAATCCATAACTGTTAATATTTTAACGGAATACAATATAAATATGCAGGATCTCTAAATTTCATGATATAAAATTGTCCATGAATTACTTATTTTTTTATTAATAGACTTATGCAAAAACATTTTATTATCATATATTCTGAACTGTTACATGGTCCTTATTTTTACGGGTAAATCGGTTACATAATTTTTGATTTTAAAATAGCAACTTAAATTTAAAATTCCATAAATAAACGCAGTATAAGTTTACATAACAGTAATACATTTTGGTGTTAACATTTTTGATTTTCGTTTACTTTTTTAACCGAGATATTCCTCTGTTATGTTATGGTAGGGGGAGAGTAGCGGAGCTCTATTCAAACGTATCGCCTCAGATATTATGTTCCACTACTTGTCACTCACTAAGTCATTTTTTTTTTTTAAAATAAGTATTTTATGAACAATTTGGCTGTAACCCGAATTTCAAAAGACCCTGTATATACGTACGGTAACCCGGAATACACCATTTAGGTATATAGGGAATACTTCGTTCCCACTATGTTATTTATTATTGAAAATAACCATTTGGTTTAGAAATATCTCAACAATTATAAAAATAGTTTAAAATTCATATTTTATTACAAAACTTGAAAAAATTTACAGGATACTAAAATTTAATAATAATAATAAAAAAATAATTTTAATAACAATGGACATAGTAAAGTAATATCTACTTGATATTTTTGTTGTCAAAGAGATATTTTTTCCATACGATATTTTCACCGGAGATTATATTTCTGATTTCGTATAGGATATATTTTTGTGCTTTACATTTATTTTTACTCTCGTGTACAGAGTGTGGTTTATTTGTTGAAGTACAATTTGGATAATTAAATACATTTTTTCCATTACGTATTAAACAAAACCGACCATTATATTAAAAAACAATAATTTCATCGATTCGATGGAAATAAAGCCTGATAGGCATTATAAGAGGCGACTAAAAGCGAAACGGTACAATATTATAATTATAGTATTTTAACGGGTCAATCGACCAATTTTAAATATCTATAGGTATAGTTCTACGCCCCTACCCTCGCTCCCGGGCAATTATACGATGTAGATAATGTCTGATTATTGTTATCAATTCAACGATACCTAACCTACCTACGTAATAATATATATTTTTTTTACTTTTCGGTCCGTAGCGCAATTTATACGCTGAATAATTCAATGGTTCCGAATTGTCCGGCCGTTATTTGCCCGACACGCGTGTGTCAAACACCCGGGAAAACACCCGCGGACACGTATGTAAGTGAACGGTCCGAAATTTCTCTTGGACTGACGTTTTTAAACGCGGTAAAAACGATATTGCAATATATAATATGTATTCGTGTATACGTTCGTTTTTCACTATCCCGCACGATTACGGTCGCCGTAGACGTTTGCCTGATAGCAAAAGAAGAAAACCACGTTCACCTTTTTTTTCCATTTTAACTGGGTATAATATAGCCGGCACCGAGTGCGAATGTTTATTATACATACAGAGTGATTCTTCTATCTATACGAACGTGCGGCGGCGGGGTTATCTACGACGATTTTGGAATAAATGTTCGATTTTGGTTTATTATTTTTTCTTTTACCTATATACATCAATGTTGTATAGACATAACAATGGCGTAGCTAAGGGTACCAATAGTATAGAATTTAAACACCGCGCGTCCGCCACCGCCGCGTAAATGATACTCTGCCTCTGACGAAACTCAAAAGGTGGAATATCTCGACTGCGATGGGTTGACGGATGATCGATAATGGTTGATGGAAATTAAAAATGTCAACACTAAAAATTCATTTAAAATGATAATCCGTCTATCTATGGAATCGTATGTACGTGTAGGTTGCTGTTTAAAAATCAAATATAGACAGTTGTTCCAATAAATTAAAACCGAAAACATTATATTTTAGAGCTGCTTGTTACTTACGATTTCTAAACAAATCAAATTACAAAAAAAAAAATGAATTGTTTTCGAATTAATGGGTGTTTTACGTCATGTTGATGTTATGTACTATATGTTATGTACTTTTGATATTGATATCTAAATACACGATCATAAAAAGAGAATTTCTTCTTTAAACATTTTGATCATAATCATATTAGATATAATTTTTCCGGAAAAAATAGTACCTATATATTTTAAATCCTATTAAAATCAAACTTACTCAAAATCTTCGTAGATATCATAATGTTGTAGGTTCGTGGTACAAATACCACACTATATATTTTTGTATTATACACTTTTGCGTCGGGGGATCGACTGCGTTGTCGAGACGTTAAAACTGCCGTGGCGCATAATTTTTATATAGGTTGAAATGTCTTATCAAGAAAGAAAAAATGATAAAATATAAATATTGTGCTCGCTTCGGTTTCCCGTGAGTGTTAGACTTGATTAATAATGGATATTTTTTCATTTTTATTATTTTGGTGAATCAGTTAAATTATAATAAAACATACCACAAGAATTGAAAACTTAAAAGAGATAAGGAGTAAAACTCAAACAGCAGACGTAATACTGAAATTGTATTATGCTGCGGCGTTAAAATTTTTCGACTTGTGTGTACATTATTTTAGATTTTGGTTATAACGAAGAAACTTTATTAGTTATTAGTTTAAAAAAAAAAAAAACTTAAATATGCCGTGATTTGTTTAAGTTTTCCTTTAAAATATTGACAAATTTCCAGCCGGTGGTACTCTAACGAAATTTTCAGCAGATCGGATCCTAGGTTTTTTTCTTTTGATATTGTTGATTTCTGAGTTGCTAACATACATAGAAGGCGAAAGAAAAACACGACTAGTACTATTTCGGTCAGTATTGATTTTCGTTTGCAATTATCTATCGTTGCGTACTGTATACATAAACTAAAAAACACCTTGTAAATTCAATGTACTATCCAATTTTACAAAATACATCCAATCTATTATCTACAACAGCGGCCTACTGGTGAGCAGTATCGATTTGTTTAGATGTATTTTTATTTTAATAAGGTTAGATTACCGTCTTTTATCGCGGTTTATTTGATGCAAACTGCAATGGTGTCCGGTAATAAATCCAACCAAATCCGTAAATAAGTGTCTTGTTTACACCGATTGCGCATCAGTTTAAAATGGCCATCTTTTGGGTATAGAAAAAAAAAAATAAAACAAATATTCGCAATTACGACCGATTATTTGTCATGCTATCATAATTCATATCGACTATAGGTATCATAACGGTAGTATCAATAATTGGCAAATACATCAAATCAATACGGCGCCCGCGCGCGTTATTTATATTAGAATTTAACCAATCGCGCGCGTAAATCCGTTCTCGTCGCTGCTGTGGCTAAACTATTTCAATTTATTTACTATTTACGATGTTCCCGTACCGTATTGTTAAAAGGGCTCGAACAAACGCGATTATTTCGAAATTGAATTTGCTCGGAAACGGTACAACTATGTTGACATTTTGTATATAGAACATTTGTGTTGCAGCAAGCGTATACATAATTATTAACTTATAAACAGAAAACTCTCATCGGCATCTTTGCAGCCGTTCACTATAAATATATACATACCTATATACGTTCATTTCAAAAGCGTACACTTCCAGACAAACGGTTTTCTTAAAATCAAGCGACGCGTTTTCTAAAACACTATCCATTAAACGGGAAATTCACGCAAAGTTAATTTTAAGTCCACGTATCATCGTTATTCAAATGATGTATACGCAAGTATATTCTGTTTTTTATACTACAGCAGTGATAAATCGTATAGATCGAAATTACACGCGTAATGAACAACACGGGTACCCGTGTTTTGCCTTTGACGGGGGTTAAAGCTCGTGTAATAAAAATACCCGTGTATCTAAATACCCGTGAACTTGAATATTCATATATTTAATCTTGAAGTGAAACTTAAAATCACGTCATCGGCTATTAACACACTCACACGTGTTAGTGACACTGCGGGTGAATGCAATCGGAAAACCATTCTGAGAAACTTTCAATATATGGTGTAGGTCGAACCCCTATTTCGGAACATACCACTTTTATATCTATGAATGTAATCCTCGATCTATTTTGGTCATTTAACATTTCTACTTTTAATATGTTATCAAGGTTATTCTCCTGATTATGAGACGTGTTCAAAAAGTTCCTAGAATGTTTGAATGATTGCGCATGTCTATTTTAATTATAACTGATACATTATCAATTAATATAATTGCGCTATAATTATGACGGATCGTCGTAGAGCAGTAGGATCAGTATCAATGGATTCTGTGCTTCTCAATGTATTCTTCTGAGCATATCTGTTTTTGTAAATTCTCTTTAACTATTTTCGTTTTAATGTACCTGATATTTTGTATTGGGCGATTTTCTAATGGGTTCGAAAAAGGATATTTTTGGGGAGAGTGTAGGGTGTTGATCAAGAATTTTTTCCCTTTGGGACAAAAATGCTTTATTGGTTTTCCCAAATGATAAAATGCTCACTTACACTAGTAGCATATCCATCAACAGTATCGGCTCTTTAATTTTAGATTCTGAGTGGTGCGAAGATGGTTTTACAAAGATGTTTTTATTTTTATTTTATCTGTGGATAATTTTTCTACCAGATATCTTGCTCTGATTTTTAAGAGTAGCACATTTCTGAAATTAAATCAGACTGGGAAGGTACTAAAGAAGATCATATTTTTATTTTCCCAAGAGTTTTCCCAGCAAATATGAAAAACCTGGAAAAAACATGAGAAAACCTAGAAAAACGAGAAAATCGGTACAATATTAAACAAATATTATTAAAGAAAATATATAATGCCTATTTAATTATTTTACCATGACACGATATATTTACTGTTGACAAATCATCACTATCAATTGAACTGCGTTCAGAATCGTTTTTTCGTTAGCAATGGTTTATCGTTGCTTATAGGCATACATTACACTCCCGTTTGTATCCTACCTTTCCAACTTTCCACCTGAAACAATGGTTGCACTCACGTGCGAAGTATTTTTCATTCAATACTGTGCACCGTAACGGTATGCGGGACAACTAGTATATTATAAAATTAAATTTGAACGCATAATAATCACACGGAATAACTAATTATTGATGGATTACAGTTGGTTATAGTTAGACAACTGAACAATTAATGTAAATTTTATGCATATTTAATATTGGATCAGCTCCGAAAAACGCCCCGGGACTTAACTGTTTTAAACTGTGGACTTTCCTATATTAAAAAAGTTAAAAATACGCCAAGGTTGTTTTTTTTTCCGCGCAGCCGAATATTTTTTTTACTAATTATCGGAATTACGAACGCGAGTCACCCACGAAGCTACACGGTTCAGATAAATACCTAAACAGACAGTAAATGTGTACGCGAGACGTAACTCGATCATTCAACTGATGAAATATCTAGCTGCACGTAATTTAATATTAGACAATAATACGTAGTCCGTAGAACAGTCGATAACATACTCGACGCGTTGTATAACTATACTGTTATTATACATCTTGTATACAAGTATTCGGGGCAATAGAAGTAAATGTGCCTCTCGTATGTTGTAAACTATTGTCTGTTCTATGATCTCGCGTTCGATATAACGTTTCGTAATTTTAGATTAGGCGTTTTGGGTGTCAGTCAAAACTGCTCTTGTGAGCCACTTGTCGCTCCGATTATTTCGCGTTTACAATTTTTTCGAACCGATTTCTATTTTCGCATGTTGGATACGTTTTTTTTTTTTTTTTTTTATTTTTTATTATTGACAATTCCCTATAAACAAGAAATATACGTAATGGATAATATTGTCGAATTTACACAATTAATCGTATTGTTAATATTGAAACTATAATTTGTCATTGAAAACTAAATTCAGATATGTGACATAAGTTGTAGTCATACCGTTGAATATTTAATACAATTGTATTCTCGTGTTCGTCCAAAAAAAAAAAAAAAAACAAAATAATAATATACAATATTGATATTAACTCGTTCCAGTATAAAACGATAAAAATTAATAATAATTGTTTCTTAAGATTATTTCGATTTGGTTTGTATTTATATAAACATTTATAGATTTTTACATTTATTTTTAGGTATATTCTTTAATGGGATATATTTCTACGTTTCACATGAATAAGCGGCTGTAAGTTAGACATTTTTCCCATGTCATGTAGGTATCTATGCACTTGATGGTAAATTTCCCGGGTTGTTTGAGAAGTCAATTTTCAAATTTCAGTTTTAAAGATTTCCAAAATTAAGCTACTTTTTTAAAAAATTCCATAGAATAACCGCATTACATTTTTTTTTATGTTTGAACGCACCAAATTTTAAATTGAGTAGTCGATTTCTTAAATAACAGGCAATTTATCAATAAACCGATTACACACCTACTTTAAAAATGGGCATCTGACTTTATATTCTTGCGTATAAACGGTCATACTCCTTTCCCTTAAAACGGGCGCGAGGCAACAGATTGGTTTCAAAGCCCTAGATGATAATTAAAAAGTAAAAAAAATAATTTTAAAATTTTACACAGTTGGAGAAAATTTTGAAAATCATCAACGACTAAAACCCCTTTAAGAAAAAAAAAAAAAACAAACGTGATTTAGAAAACATTTAAAATACATGATCGTTTTTCCGTGGTATAACTATAGGTACATACTCGATGTTATTTAATAATAATAAACGGTCGAAAAATATTTAAAACTCGATGTAATCGATTGAATCCCACGTTTCCGAATCGATTATTGTTATTGAATTTTTTGAACTACCGTTTGCCAATAACGTATTACAAACATGTTAAATCTACACAATACGTTTTTCGGTCACCACGTTTAACATTGTTATCATTTTTTTTCCGAACGACTCTAACGGACCGAATATCGTGTACGTATTTTAGAATCACGTCGGATTTAATGGACGAAAAAGTGTATCTCATATCGAGCGCAGAAGAAGGATCCATTTGCATCGTGACACTCATGCTAACGGGCAGAGCAACGCCGAATCTCCATAACGGTATCGTGAACATTGGCGACGAACATCATTATGTGAGTACCAACCTAGTATTATCACGTGATAATATCATAATATTTGGGCAAAGAATGATGTTCTTTTGAAATATGGTTAAAAAAATCTAACAACTGTGAATTGTATAGGTATTTAATATTGTATAAGATTTGAAGCGTGTTGGTTTTACATTGTATTGGTGGATATGATATATGCTTTTTATTCGGCACATTAATAACAATTTTTTTACTTAAAATTCTACTCTAATAAAAAAAAAAATGTTAAAACAATTTTTTTATAATTTTGGAAATCAGTTAGTTTACTTAGGGCGTAAGGAGGTAATTTTTGATTTTCTATTTCCTCGCAGTTTTCACAATAATCAGGAAAAACTATGAAAAATCTATCAGAAAAATTTACAGTATACGGTCATATCATTTTCCAAGGGGTTTCCAAAATAATTGGGGAATACCCCAATGAAAATTGTAACTAAAACAGCAAATATTTGCTTGCTACGGGCGTTACCGTTTTCTAATAAAAATATAACAGGAAGTCGTATTTTTCCTTGTATTTTATAGCCACAGACAAAGAATATAGTTTTTTAATACCTAAATAAGTTTTCATAATAATTGTGAAAGTAGAAAAAAATACTAAAAATACGACTTTTTCAAATTACAGTGCAACGATTTCATTATTTAAAATTTGTACAGTTTACATTTTTTATCATAAATCTTGCTTCAATAGATAAACGACAAGATACCTTTTTTGTTGCATTTTTTATCTAGTACGTGGGTAATTTGTTTTTGTTTTTCCTGCAGTTTTTGTAATAATTTAGAAAAACCACAAAATGTCGAAAATTGAAAACTGACAAATTTACGGCGTTACGATTTCAATATTTTAAATTTATTAAAAACTTTCCTACTAAAAAACAATAATGACATACCCATCAACAGTATCAGTTTTTTTAAGAAAATAATATTTCAAATGTAAATATTTTAAAGCAGCTTTACCATTATTATTCTTCTGAATATTGATTGCTTTTATTGTTCTTATTTTTATATAATCTTAAAACCAAACAAAGATGTTGGATATTTTTAATAAGTGGAATAAGAACTCATTTGAGTAAATAGTTAAATTATATATTGTTTATCTAAAGCTTCAAATATCTACTTACTAAAATTTTAAATTTTATCATATTGAATAATTATTTTGTATTTGTTAATATAAAAGCACTTTAGTAGACATAACGATTTAAAAACAACATTTAAATTCTAAAAATCTAAAAATTGCCACATCACTGTTTATATCGCAGGGGTCACTGAATCTATTGTTTGACAGACGGCTGACGGACTACCTCTACGCCTACCTTTTTAACTTGAATAGTTGAATTTCGGCTAAAATCAAAAATTCAAACAAATTTTTATTGTAGAATTTTTAATTTAATTTATAGAATTTTATTTTTTAATACTTAGTAGTTTTCATAATAATGGGAAATTATTGAAAATGTCATATCAGGAGATAAAACTTGCCTCATATCGCGGTTAACGTTAACAGTTATTTAGTTTAGAACTTCCTTAATATGATCAATTTTTTCTTGTTATTCGACCTCGCTATATACAATATTAATTTTTTTTTAATCGATGAATTGTTCTGGAACATTTTCGTATTGTTGGTTTTTTAGGCTATACCGCATTACGGGATATTGGCCAGGAGTGAAGTAGGTCTACTCGTCCACTACGAAGAGTCATCCACTCCAGTGCAGGTCACCCAGTTACCGGGTTCTCGATTAAAAACGCCTTCGTACCCGATTTGGATAACCTGCGCCAAGGGACACTACGGTGTGATATTTAACACCAACCGTGAACTGCTGAGAAACCATCTAGCCGAGAGGAGGTTTGTATTGATATTTGATCATGGTTTTTGGAGACTTCTCTCTGTAAATTTGAAAACAATTCACCCTTCTCCAATTCATTTGTCTTCCCAGCACGGAGATATTCACACATCGTGCTACAGGATGGAATCTCAAAAAATCGTCCCCATACATATATAATGATTCGTGACAAAACAGGTAAAAGCGTAAACAATAAAATTAAGTGAAATAGAAAGAAATGCAGAAAAATGAAGGAATGGAAATTGAGAAAATGTTGATATCAATGCATTTTTGGGTGATATTATTATTATTTTTTTTTTTTTTGATAGTATGATATTGTTCTCTTGTTGGGCAAAACATAGTTTTTACTTAGCTAAATATTTTTTGATTTAGATACATTATAATATTATCGGTTAACGCATTATCAGGAGTGCTATATCTGGTTAAACGATGGGAACCCTTGAAGCTAATTCCAAAAAAATAGAGATGGGAAATGACTAGATAGAATAATAGTTAGGACAGGAAAGAAGTATTGAAAAGGTGACGATGATCCGCAAGGTTGGCAATAGTCGAAACGAACATTTTTGTTTTTTGGCCTATTATAGTGGTTTGAAAATTCGAAGATTTGGGAAACAGGAATTATTATAAATAATATGAACAATGCGATGTGAATATCACTTTAATGTGCGTATAGTTATCGATTGTCTTTATTAGGTGTATATATTTTTTTCTTAATTGGTTTTTGTCGTTCTTCGGATTCGTTTTTAGATTTTGGTCTTTGGACGAATGTATTTAAATGTTTTTTTTTTTTATTTGCAAAAAAAAACACCATCAAAAACAATTTAAAACACAAATTACCGAGCACGCGTTCTGTTTTAAAATACGTTTATATTGAATCAAATTTCTGAATCATATTAAGAAAATACCACAAATCACAATAAGTAATATTAGGTATTCAGTCGATGATCATGACAGTTGTTTAGATGAGTAGACAAGGAAATTTTAGGTACACGCATAATATTAATAATATTCCAATTAATCAACGTACATAGGTAATAAATCTATAAAATTAGCATACCAATTGAAAAAGTTGTTCTACTGTCATAGTATGCGAATGATTTGAATATTATTTAGGGGCCCGGTATAACTGCGAAAATTGATCCCCGTGATAGTTAATCTTCACCTTCACGATTAAAGTGGTCTTTTATCCTAGAGAACTTGCTCGATGTATAAATGTAGCCCCTGTTCTGAAAGTCAATTTGATCTACTTGGTAAAAACATAGATAGTTTTTTGATTTTCGAAATGGTGTTTAAAATAAAAACGATTAACCGGGAAAAAAAATACAATTTTTTTTTCACGATTTCGTTATTTTAAATATATCCCTATTACGTTTTTTTAGCAAAAGTATGGCTCCAATTGAAAACCAACAAGAGACCTTTTTTGGTAAATTATTAATCTTGTTTTTAATGATGCAGTTCGATTTTTTGATTTTCGAATTAGTTTTCATAATAGTCGGGAAAAAACGTAGGAAGGTTAGGTTAAAAAAAAATCGGCACTTCAAATTATGTATTACCGAACTGCGCTCGGAATCGTCTTTCGTCATCGATGGTTTATCGTTGCTTATTATAATTGCTTAGATATAAATGAAATAACCTTATACATCCGACCTTTCTAATTTCTCACCTACAAAAATGGCCGCTTCCATCGCCAGAATCAGCTCTGTTTTTATTTTAAATTTAGTTTTAAAAACATAAATCTGGTGGGTGGGTGTTTGTTTTAAATGTTTATTCTACATATTTTTTTTACTACAGCGTCACTGACTATATTTATTATTGTCAATTTAATATTTGTAAACAATTTATTTTTTAACTAATAAACAACAACAAATTACAGCCCACACAGAACCTCGATTTTTATTAGATTTAAAATAACGTTAAAAGAATCTTTAGATTGATTTTTATTAAAAAGTTTGAGATTAAACTGTTGAAAAACTAACTATAATGCTGGTCGTAGAAGGAACAAAAAAAATTATCGTCAAAATTTGGATTTTATACGAGTCATGAAAGTTTTCCTGTAAGTTTTTTCTTTGTTTGAAATCATTTATTTTCTTTAAACACTTTTGTAGTTGATCATTCACTTTTTAATAAAAATTATTAGTTAAATTTGACACGAAATGTTATAAATACTGTATAAGTACTTTTAATGGATAACTGCAAACTACGGGACGTGAATAAATCATTGAAACTCTGAGTTTTAAGTAAAATAATAATAGTAAAACTGTCATTTGAATGATTTATTTGTTTGAATAAATCAGTTTTCTAATAATAAACCATACTCCTTTTACCATTCATACTATTCAATCGCTTTTGTATACTTGCATAAAGTATAATGGTTTGATTGGTTTAAAGGAAATTTGATCTGGGAAGTACTTTAAAAAGTAATTTTTTGATTTTCTCAGGAGTTTTTCCAATAAATGGGAAAAACCAGGAAAAAACTTAAGAAAAATAGATACAATATTAAACAAATATTATTAAAAAATATATGTAATTATTTTACCATAATAGAACATAAATCTTGTTGACAAAGCAACATTATTAACTAAACTCCGCTTAGAATCGTTTTTTCGTAATATAATATAGATATAAGATATAAATTCAATTTCTTATCTACCTTCCTAACTTCTCACCTATAACAGTGGCCTATCCACGTGCGAAATATGTCAGTCTTTTGTTTTAATACTTTTTTTTATATTGTAGACTGTAGAGTAATGTCATGGTGTGACACATAGGTGACGTTTTGATCACTAAGCCATTTTTAACTTATTAATAGTTAACTAGAAATCTTATAAATACATTTCAGATTTGAATACAAAGGCCATTTTTTTTTTCGAGCGATCTAACAAAATGCTTTCTATGTACATAATCCGATTCATGTAACAGATATATTTCAAAAGTGAATCCTTTAAGTTTTCATTTTTTTTTTCCTTCTACCGTCTTTATCCACTTGTATAGCATATTATTTTTTTTACCATTTTTTGTTAATTGCGTTACCTAGTTTTAATTGTATTTTTTTTTTAGAATGATTAACATATCGTAAGTTACTCATTATCTTGGAAAATATTAACATTTTTTGGAATTTGTTTTATAGAAAATTTTTGGAAACCAAGCATCTTTAAAATTTCGTATTAATTAAATTTTTTGTCACCCACATTTTTGATCATAAAACCACTCCTTAAACTTATGATTTTCAAATGGCAACCTATATTAAAAATTTTGGAAATAGAATTTTGGTATTGAAATTTTTGATTACTATCAATTTATTGATGACGAGATATTTTACTTTTAAGTTAGGGTTAGGTGCAAGTTTTGGAGCATCATTTGTGTAGTGGCACGGCACACGGCGTTTGAATAATGCACTCACACCGAATAAAAATTAATATTTTCCGAGATAATGAGCGTCTTATGATAGGTTGATCATCCTATATATTGTACGAACTTATAGTTTAAATGTAGGTTATTTAAAATATCATCTCAAGAAATTTCGTTTATATGAAATTTACTTAAATAGGTTTCAGGTTTTCTTCATTAATATTTAATACAGTTTGTCAACCTAACTATTTATGATTTTAATATCATCTTTATCTTATTTTTATTAACGACTCTGATGCGTCACTTTGGGTCCAAAAAGAACAATTACAAAAGTGAAATTTTTATCTTATATTTTACATTGTTTGTATTTTTTTTTCTATATTTTAGTGCATTTTCAATAGTTATTAAGGAATTTACGCCCGGGCCCTTCTTATTGATAACGCAATGGAAAAAACTACTTCAACATATTTCTATAGATAATAGTAATGATAATAAATATTAGGTGTCACGTTTTTGTTTTTACGGCAGAGAAAAGGGAATATCAAATCTATACACACTGATGCTGCGATATTATTCTACAACGATATAATAATAAATTGGGTAAAACAATAAAAATATTTGATTTATTAAATATAATATTATACCTACTCGCATTTATTGCATTTTAATGTGCACTTCGGGGAGTTGAACTAGTCATTTTCGTTGTTGTTTATGCGCGTACGGGATTATTTTGTTATTTTTTAACGGTATCCAATGTGTGTCTATAATATCGGATAAACGTATCGTTTCATAAATTAATATTTTCGGGTAAAAACGTTGCACGGTTTTTGAACAAAAAAAAAAATTAAATTGTTATAATCGTTTAAACCGCGACGCTACACACAATACAAGTACGTATAGTTAACACACGAAACCTACATTTTTCGCAATCTATCGTTTTAGACCGCAATGGACATAATAATAATAATAATTCGTAATGTTACGGACTGGATATTGTATTTTTATGAGGAGAAAAAAAGCTCAGATTTTTTCATGTCGAGATGTGAATTTTATACATGATAGTACTTTACGTTTAAACTATTATTCGAAATTAACAAGATTTTTTCATACCTTAAAAGATGTGAAATTTCTGCTCGGTGGTTTTTTATTTTAAATATTTGTTGACACTTTTATCAGTTCACTCTTAAAGTCTTTTTTTAATTTTTTTTTTTATAAAATACGTATTTAGTTGGTATTTGTTTTTAGTACAGTAATTATTCGTATTGTATTTTAAAAAAATTCGGATTTTTGATTGATGTTACGTTATTTGATAATAATCTCTAGATTTTTGACAGCTTTTTTTAAAATGAAAAAAAAAAATTTTGTTACAATTGATTTTATTTACGTTGATTTCTTGGACACAGCGGTGACTAGGGGAAAAAACACCACTAATATTACTAAATGGCTATAACTTTAATAGTATACGGAGCTTTAGTCACAATCGGTTTTTGAGTAGGTACATCTATAAATGAATACTCTTTTGTGGCTATATATTTTACTTTTCAAACTCTTTACTAACCACAGTAAAGTTTACTTATCAAACATTATGGTGCCAAGACATATGTCCGGTTTTATTTAAAAATTTAATTCGTCCATATATTTATAATGTCAATATTTACTATTGTAAAGACTCTATAGGAATTTCTTTGTGATTGATAATATTTTATTTATATATACTTACGTCTACACTCTGTACACCAAAAATTAAGATATCTACAGAGATACAGAGATACTGTCGGGGTGTGTATACAATGTGACAATTTATCATCGAAAACATATATACAAAATTTCGACTTTATACTGATACTGATTTTCCGATGTATCTAAGTTTTTAAAATATTGTCAATAACAATAATGTATAATATTTTTTGTTGTACATTTCCACACAGGTTTCCGTTGACTTACTATTCGTGTAGCGGCAGTGAGAATTACGCGACAGTGGACACGCGGTCCCATCACGGCGAAGAGACACGGTCCAAGGTATCCGCAGACGACGTGAACAACACCTCGTCGCAGCTGCTTCTGATCGAGTTTCTCATACATACAAAGTGAGTGTTAGTCTTTTATTTGGTTACCGTTTTCAGTCTACCCCCATGTTTCACGATGATTTCAGTACACTCGACAAACCTTTTTCCACCGCCAGGAACCGATCGAGCGGTGTTCCTATACTCGACAAAATGAAAAACTAAAGATACCTAACTTAAATAATGTAAAACGATGGCAGCAACAATTTCATTGTTGAGTATCTCATAGTATTATGGACACAAATTAACTTTTTTCGTCGACCCTAATGATATATATATATATATATATATATATAGAATGACGTGACCGTTTTTTGACGGCGGAATTCAAACTATGAAAAGTGCGGATATATCGTGTTTTTCTAACTGATAATTTATGTCCCGTATGTCCTCTTTTGCCTTCACACAATTCGGGCGAAATACTATTATTCTCATTCTATAAATCTCACTATTCACCAACGTTCCTTCATCTACTCTACATTTGCTCATAGTTTCGCTTATAATTCCAATACGTCTTGATTCGCCTATCGCAATCGTTTCTCTTTCTACCTGGTAACTTGTCTCTATATATTCGCTACTGCGGTCTGAGGGCTGCGTTAATTTTAGTAATACGATAAACCCAACGGTACTTTTCATTATTGTTTTCCGAACCACCTATCGCATATCGTAAAAAATTACTGAAAAAACAATGGTACAAATACATATCCAAAGACCGTACACAATTTTGAAAACTGGGCGACGGTTGGCAATGGCGTTTTTCACAATAACCGCACAAAACCCGAAATTCGATTTTTGTACGCATTGTGATGGATGTCTAACAGGTGGACTGGACAGTATCCCCAGTATATAATTTACATTTATTATATTTTTTTTGTTTATTTTGTTTGTTGTTTCGTCCGTCAGGTGGGAAGGAGCTTCGGTACAGTGGACGGGCGTCACAAATGCCGTGAATTAACGCAACGGTGACACAAAAGTCATTATTCATCCGTAATAATATTATATCGTTAAAAAAAAACTCTACGTATGTGAATGATCTACCATTAAGTATATGAACTAATTAGGTACTTAAACAAATACTATAATAATGTGTAGGTATAAAAGAAGAAAAAAAACGAAATATTGTGTATCCTGTAATATTATAATATATATTTATTTGTTTTTTTGTTTATTAAAAAATAACAGGTATTAAATAATCACTTTTACGACGATGCTCTAATATCGATTTTTGAATAATCAAAACAAAAAAAAAAACAATAATATGAAAACACTAAATAAATTAAAATACATTAATATAATTAGGTTATTATTATTATAATATAGAATACTGATAGTTGTTGTTGTTGTTTTTTTTTTTTTTGGGAGCAATGTATATTGTGTGTTTAATGAAGAATAATGCTGATTTTTCGCGTTTTAATGTTATTATATTATATGTTAATACTTGTTGTAAATATAAATTAACAATTTTAGTATGCTGGAAGTACATGTTAATAGTATTGTAGGTAAGTATATTTTTTATGTGGGGTGTGAGTCGAAAATAAATTAACAAGGATAATCAATAATTGGCTGTCTACTACGTTATAATCATCGGGGTGAAGTCAACAAAATAAATTATTAATAATATTGCGTTATAGATGAAATATCCGTAAATAATAACGCTGTTAAACCGACGAAATCCAAACGGTTCCCATTATTTAAAACCTGGAAAAAAAAAAAATTTCTTGTGAAACTATAATATTAATATTGTTAGTATAAAAGTCAAAGACATTGGGTGGGATCAATATGTGAGGAGCGTCACTGAAAAAAGAAGTTTAATAAATGAAAGCATGACCCGGTTGCATATTTATACATACCCCCAATCGAGTTCGGCCCAAGTCGGTACGTAACCGAGTTGGTTAAGGCGTTTTAAGAGGTTTTTATAAAACATAACCTACTTGGTAGTCAAAATCTGACATTAATTTAAGGAAGTTTTATTATCTTAGGTGTAATACGGAAACCTAGTTTTTAAAAAACCAGGATGTGTTGTAAATTTACACACCACTTCGACAAGATTTGGATACTGTAAAAAAGTTATTTACACGTATAGGTAAATACAAAATGTAAACCTAATTGATTTTTTTTAATTTTTCTTTTGCATATTTCGAACTATATCATGTTATACGATAAATGGATACGGAATAAACATTTTTAAATTTGCTCATGATATAGGAATGCATAATCAGAAATGAAAAAGACTTGAAAGAAATCTTAGAAACAATGGGTGAGACCAACGTTAATGAATTTTCATACATCTAGAAGAGATAATTAAAAGTGAATATTTCACAAAAATATACGCAATAAAAATGGATATTGTAGTCTGTAAGTAGAAAAAATAACATAAAAACAAGTATAAAATTAAAATGAGTTTATATTATAAAAAAATTAAGACTTAAAAAAGATTTCAGATATTTTGGAAGTACTATAAACTTAGATGGATTTCTTTAAGAAATAATAAAGATAATAATGTGTCAGGCCAATATTTAACTAAAAAAGAACTCTTTTACCTCGAAAAATAGTATTCTTTAGTAAAACATCTAAAACATTATGCTATATAATATGAAAATGAAACATGGATTATTGCAAAAGAAAACAGAAGTAGAGTAAAAATGTATTTCAAAATGTGGTGTTATGGAAAGGTTCTAAAGATTTAATCAAGATCAAGAATTTTTTGTTTCTAAAAAATGTCGCACTTACCTCTGTGGCACTCCGAAATAAGGGAACAACGACCGCTTGCCGAGGGTCTTGAGTATTTGATGATTCTGCGACATGACCTTCTGATTCTCGTCCACTTGTCGCCGAGCCACCTCGTACATGAGCTTCTGCCGGAGCACGTCTAGCGAATTGACAATGGACAAGCTCGGCCGGCTTCTCGCGGAACCGTCTTGATTGTCCGAGTTCCTCAACATTCTCTTCTCGATCGAAGCCATGTCAAAGAAGTTTTTCTAAACGAACCGCAGACGAATGCCATCATTAATATTAATTAATAATCATAATTATTATTATTGTTAATAATAATTGTTGTTGCGCGTGGTGGTCGTCAGGGTTTTCGAGGGTTTTTAAATCCGAAATCCTAAATTGCCGATCAGAACGAAATAATAATGTCATGCGTTTGTGTAAGTATACACCCATCGAATTCGACACATGTAAACGCGAGTAAAACGTAATCGAAATGAAATAGTTTCCGTTGTTTTTGTTTTCATCAATTTTTTTTTTTTATTACCGGTCCGATTTACAATTACACGGAATTGTTTTGCGATTGAAAATAGTATGTTCTGGATTCCAAGCGGAGCTTGGGACCCATAGTAGTTTGGATTTTTTTCAATCGTGTTATTCTAATAATATCCGCTTTATACAGATCCGTGTTTGGGGTGAGAGGGAGGGCAATAAGTTGTTGCCCGGATGATAACTTAGAACAGTAGAGTGACATTTTGATAGAAATGTTTAGTATGTGTTTACGCGGTAACGGTTGTTCTCACTCTCACGGTGCCACGATAGTAACTATTAACTAAACATTCATGTATGATAGTGTGATAATTGCATTCACGATAGTTTGATAATTACTATCGCTCTGTTCACACTAAAATAGTCCATGACAGAGAAACTATCACGGTTGCGAATAGATAGTATATGTGTTGTTGTGTAGACCTGTAAGTGGGATTTAATAATAATTGCGATTTTAATCGTCTAGACATCAAATCAATTCTGTAAAACGGAGACGATCTCTGATTGTTGTTTACAAAAAACCGGAAAATAGTTTGTCTTTTTTTCCTTCGAACGCTACCCCCCGTTCGGATTTGGGATTACCGCGATTATTATTGCGGACGAGATTCATTACTTTTCTCGGCTGGATACGTGTAGGGGAAAATAATAAAACTATAACGCTCGACTTAGTCGGCTACTGTACAACCAAAATATACGAAATATAAAATTACGAGTATATCCCGTCGAAATAAGAATTATTTTGCAGGATCGCACAACGAAAATATCACCGGGAAAAGATCGAGGGAAAAACTTTTGCCGAACAGATACAGCAACACTGATACGTAGACACACTCAATATAATTTAATTATAGGTTGGTAGTCGGTGGGTTTTTAACGAATTACGCGGCGGTGAGTGATTTAAAAGTTATAGTATAGAATTTTTGCTGCATTAGATTCCGAAATCCTCGAAGTCACAATACATCGCTCACGTGGCCGCAGTGTCGCGGCAAATGCTGTTTTTTTACATCTGTGACTCGATCGACATTACTAAGTGGGTCGGAAGCGTAAGATTATGTGGACCCACGGAACAGTAAATTTGAAATTTAATAACGACATGTACTACTGATGGAAAATTTTTAGTCACTATTTTGATTTTATGCGATTTAAAAATCATTGTACTATTTTTCGAATTTTTTGAATAAAAATATTGTTTGTTTATGCAAAAATACTCGAAAATTTGAATCAAAGTTCACTAAAGTCTCAACCAGTGGTGAAAAGAAAATTGATCGATTTAATAATTTATATATTTTTTTTATAAACATTTAAAGATCAAATTTTAATCGTAAAATTCGAAAAATTTATCTACTCCTTGTTGATAAAGTTTACAATAACATTTACATGCGTAGGCATCTCCACAGAGGAAACAAGAAGTAGTATTTACCCCCTTAAGTTTTCAATAGTTATATTGTGCAGCCTCAATTTCATATTTCTTGATTTCTATGATAACTATGGCGAAATACAGTGTCATTTTAGAACCTGTGACAAATATATTACAAGGTAGATCTCTATCAAATCAGCAAACATATTGATTTCTTACTAATCATCGAAAGGACGCTAATGAAATTTTTCAAATGTTAACTGAATTAATCGCTACTGCTATAGATATTTGTATTACGTGTTCAAGAACGTTAAAAAACTAAAGTTAAGAATTTATTTTATAAAACAAAATCGTCATTCATTTTTTAAACTACGTTCGCCCCTCCACCATGGAATAAAGTCTGCAGACGTCCATGTTTACATAAACAGTTTGGACGGGAATATCGTAAAAAAACCGAGATCGATTTGTTTTTATTTTTTCAAAAACGTCTCGGTGTATTTTTTATGTCATAATCGTAATAAAAAAATATCTAGGTATTCAAATTCGACGTATAATGTCGTGAGATGTCGCAGCACGCGCATGATGTATAACGAACAGAACCGTGTAGATAGATACATTGTTCCCGGCTAAGAGGATTCGCTGAATACAGAATATATTATACAAAGAAAAAGCGACAATAATATTATTATTATGATTAAAGTTTAAACTCATCGGGACTTCGGGCCGAAAACGCGCAATATTTTCTTACTCAGAATCTGGTGTTTCTCCGCACGCGACACACGACCTTCAGCGATCGTGCAGCATACTGCAGACTGGAGATAGCACTTTGGGTCAAACTTAATTTCATAGCCGGGAGTTAAGTATTATTATTTTACGACATCTCGTCAAAAGTTCGGCAGTTGCACTGCGCGTATATATATAATAGTATACTCAAAAGATAACCGGAGACTTACTATTTAAATTCGTAGTGAGGGGTTTTAAAGCGTGACGTGATCCGTGATCTCCGAATCGAATAAAACTTTTCCGGCATCGTATGTATAAGAGGATTGCTGGCGGTTGTGGGTACTCGATTTTTAGACGATTTTACCGTGAAATATGAAAAATAAAAACTATCAACAGTAAGCCAAACTATAACCGTATGATACCGTTTGATAACGGGTTAAAAAATACATCCGTGAGCAGCAGAACTTCGTTAATAGCAAGGTTGGAACGTGTAATATAGTAACCTATGTTCCAACGTATTAAAAGCGTAGTATACCGGTAAACGTACGTATATAAAACCTAAAGGACAAAACCTACTTGGTTTTATATGTTTTATACTGTATACAAGATTTTATTTAGTTTTTATTATGGCTGCATTGCAAAAAAGCTATATTGAATAATTTGTTACATTACCTTTTAATAAGTTTATAAATGTATGTGTATACAGTTTAATAAGCTTATCATTATTAATAATAATTGCAACCTCTTTCCCAACCAAATGCCAGCTCAAATTGTATAATAGAAATCTTGCTTAAATCAAAAAATAACGAAACCTTTTTTGTTGTATTTTGGATCTAGTTGGTAGAACTTTTTTTTTTCTGTATTTATATTATAATATTTCTTTATTATATTTTTATAATAGTATTATAAAAATTTGATAATAGTATTTTTTTTTTTTTAAACCAAACAAAAACATTATTATAATATTAGATAGGATTATTATTATCAAAAGGTAAAAATTCAACTACAATTAACATGAAATTAACGATTGTTTTACGTAATTTTTCTTTAATAATGACATGTGGAAGAACTTTTTTGACCAAACAAAAATACTAGGAAACATAACTATATAGGTTCATTATAAGTTATGCTTTGTGGAAAAACAAACTTGAGCGTCGGTAATATGATAATATTTAGATTCGGAGCGTAGCGAAAAATATATTGATTTTACATTGATGTTTTTCAATTGTAGTATCTTTTCTGAGAGTAAACTTTATCTGGGTGGTACTTTAAATAGTATGATTTTGATTTTCAAAGTGCTTTTTACAATTATTCTGAAAAACGTAGGAAAAACGGGAATATATACGTACATATATAAAAGAAAATTTGCTGCGAATCGTTTTTCGTTATCAATGGTTTATCGTTACGCACAGATATAAATTAAATTATCTTTTATATCCTACTTATCTAACTTTTTGCCAACAACAGTGGCCCAACCATCATGCGAAGTATGTCTGTTTTTTTTCTTTATAACTGTTTTAAAATCAAATTTTGATTAAAATCGTAAATATTACGCCATTTTAATAAGACATGTACAGTGTCTCACAAAGATATAACTATTGTAATATCTTCGGAGGTAATAAAGATAATTAAATTCTAATTTTTTTTTTTTTATTTTTCTATTCACAGCGATAATAAATACAAATATTTATACTTGAAAACAATTGTATGTTCCTTTGTTTTGGTGAAATAATAACTATATTTTATCATGTCCGAAAAATTTGAAGAAAGCAATTTTCTAGATTTTATTCTTTTGGAAATGTTGATGTTTCAACTTTTAGTGTATAGTTAATATTAGCTATAATAATACCCTTTCGATTACCTATAGTTATTCAGCAGGCTGTATACGCATTTTTCATAATTGACTATCATGATTATTATAGGCAACTTTTTTTTGAACTTTAAAATTGTATTTTCGTTTCAAAAATATTAAAACCCCATGTCATAATTTTTAAAAGTAACATATTTTTTTTTCTCAGGGTTCTCAGCTATTCGCATAACAAATTTCATGAAAACTGGTTAATTTGTTTAACAAAACAGTTATTTTTAAATTAAAAAACTAGTTAAAATAATAGGTTAACTATTTAATTTATACTAATATAGTTTAATTAATTAATTATTAAATTATATCATTCACACAAAGTTGTCGATTATTTATCTTTACCTGGATTATTAATCCGGCAATAATCTTTTGTCTTTAACTAGTAGGTATTTAAAAATGTATTTAAGGGTTAGTTTGACGACAAAACTACACGTAACGACGAATAATTTAGATTTTTAAATGATTCAAGTAGACGGATGAAAATAACGAACCAAATACATAGTGTTTTATTAGAAACAAGACGTATCCATGTGAGAAATGTGTTGAAAAATAATTCGAGAGGTGGGATACTTTCGAGTGTTTTGAGTGGTTTTTTTTTTCAGTCGTGGAGGAAACGGGCCCACGTAAAATTCGCCGCCGGGCTGTATAATAATAATATATACTCACGTCGATGGATTCCAAGTCCTGATTCCGGGCATCGTACCAGCGCGCGTCCCGTTGTACCAAAGGGTCGTAGATCATGGCGCCGTCGCAACATAACGTGACGGCCACCGCCAGTGTCCAAACGAATGTCAAGAGCCTCATGGTCGTCGGTTTAAAGCTTCTGGCTATAATTGTGCGCCGCACTGACGACTAAGTTTCTAGAAGACAAAAAGAAAAAAAAACCGTTTTTTTTTTTTTTTTACACAATCAAAGGAAAACAAAAATGGGGTGACACTTTTACATAATATAACAATGCGCGCGTATTAGGTAGGTAAATATAAGAATCCCGAACGGGGTGAATTACAATTAATCTCCAGTTTCGTCCTTCGTCATGTGTTTTTTTTTTCTGGGAGGAGGTTTCTATACTCTCCGTAAACTGAATTCGAGTTTTTTTTTGTTTTTTCGTTAATGCCGATCGTGTTGTGTAATTGTATAGTTGTTTCGACGCCCCTGCAGGTTTTTCAACGAAACCTCGGGCGACGTCATTTCACTTCCAACATCAGCAAAATGATCGTCAGGCCGTTCATGGACTGATAATCCATGACGATGACGGTAGACGGTCTCATGATTTTTATTTTTGTCTTTTTCGAATGCGATCCGGCGGCGGCCGATAATAATGTATTCGAGAAAATTGAAAAAGTGAACAAATGACGACACGGGATGCTCGTTACGAAACGAGGACTGCGTCAAGAGACGGCAAAAATCTCGCGAACGACTGACCCAAGTCCGACCGGAATTCGTTTACCTATAGCACGTCGTCAGTGTTTACCGACTTAAATTTAGACATTTTTATCAACCGAACGGCCTATTGTACTCTATATTGTACCTATTTTTACAATAATTGCGTCGAATATCGTATCGAGTAGGCATCAAACCGTATAGAAGTAGTAAACAATATGGTAATTTAGTAAGTAAATAAATGACAGTTTTAATCGTAGTAGTATAATGTAGGTAGTAAACAACGACTATAAAAACATAGGTGCATACAGGAATACAGAGTGTTCGCATGGTTTTTCAGCGGGGTCTCAAAAGAAAAAAAAAATCTTTTGTTGTTTTTTTTGTATTCCGATGAGTCTGTGACCCCTACCCCCAATCCGGGAGGATTGGAATTTTTTCCGAAAAAACGGATTACAATAACGCTGTCGAGTGTACTCTGTTCTTTTACAGCGCCGTTCGTTTCGACAATTCGAAAACAACCGATACCGCGTCTGCTCGGATATTACAGCTGTTATTGTTAATATTTTCGGATATCTTGGGGGAAATTTCGGAAAAATGTCCGTTGTAGATTTGAATCGTCTGTGACGAAACTACCGCGCGCGGCCTGCTTGAAATATAATATTATAATCGCTGCGGACCGGATGTTAGGCGGATTTACTTTCGATTTTCTAGCCGTGACTTCGTCGAAAATCTGTGTACACGGTGCAGTTGTGTATAGTGCACATCACACGCTACACGATCATAATTATTAATTTTTTTTACCGACAGCAACCGAATAAATATTGACGACGGCTGACGGTCAATATAATTACAATAATAATATAGTGTCACACGCTCGTTGTTGTTTTTTTGTTATCGACACGGCGAAATATTTGAAACGGACGTTATAACACACACTGTAATTGTAAAAACCTATGATAATATTGTTTTTAATATTAGAATAATTATTGTGTTTAAATATTTTGTATTTGCGGAAGTAACAGGGGGAAAAAAAATGTCCGAAAATATTTATAATATATGTAATTATTATTATTATTATTTTTATTGTTATTTTTTTTTTTTTTATAATAAAATTTTATATTTCGGTATTACAGGGGATATCTAAGCAAAATCGATAAAAAATTCACGATAAATTTGCCGGATAGAACCTACAAATTATTGCTATGTTACTGATTAATCTTATACCTATAATAGTTGTATACACTAATTATTATTGTTTTTGTTGCTTTACATGTCGTCTGTGATCCGTATTTCATCGTCCATAATTCTATCACAATTATGTCTAATATCTAAAGCTTAAAAGTCAGAAATTCAAAAAAAAAAAAAAATTGACTTATCAAACTTTTTAATATACCCTCCCTCCAAGTGTAATATACCTGAAGAAGCTATGCATATACATAATATACTTAATATACATATAAGTATGTTTGCCTGTATCGTATAGCTTATTGTAATATTCTAAAATGTATACGCGAAGTATACTTGCGTGTTTACTCGGCGTAACTTTAAACGATGGTATAAATCCTCTTTCGTAAAGTGAAATAGTTTTTGATGGTTCATGTAAATATTACATGAATGTACTCATATATGAAATTTCTCTTTACTTTTAACGCAAGCATAGCTTACTGAAATTAGACAATTTAATCAATATGCATGTATTAATTTATTTGTGGTATTAAAATGAGGGGGGTGAATTAATTAAAAATCGAAAAATATTTATCATATTACATAATTATTGCAACTGATTCCAAAACTGATAACAATATTGAATTTAACGTCTTTCAAATCAATTAGTTTTTCTTAAAGAGGTATTAATAAATGGTGGCTAATTATCGGTTCACGCCATCTGTGCGGCATCGATCGTGAAAATTTAAATGCCCGGTGATGTAACCTCCTGCACCCCTCTCCCCGAACTTTCTTTTTCTCGCCAATGTTCGATTCAGCATACTTAAAAACTTGTAAATTTATGTACAACATGAAATTGTTTGAAAAACGCTAATACTACTATTTAGAGGTTATTTTCAAAAATGTTAAAACATTTGGATTTTTTTTTTTTAATAACATTATTAATTGTATTAATTATTCACCTACATAATTCGCGTAACTTAAACTGAAGAGGTATAAATACATAACTAATGTAAGCTAATTTACGATTAATGCCATCCGTGAGGCGTTGCTCATGGAAATCTAAATGTCCGTGCAAGGCCGGCATAAGGGGAGGGGGGCGATGACCCGTGCTTTCCCTTAAGAAAATTGCGCGAACAAAAACGGACTCTTCAGCAATAATATTTTAAAGTTTATATAAATGTATTAATATTAACCGCGTGGTCCATTGCCACGTGAATATTATTATTTTCACGAAAAATATCATCGAGTATCTATAATTACTATGTTTTATTAAATCTCTTGCACGCAGCAGTGCCCGACTGTGGCTCGGGCGGCGGCAAACGACGAACCCGTCATAATTCGGCCATAATACACACATACTGTTAGTTATTGTTTATTAGCTGTTATTATTGTTTCGGATTACGTGGAATTCCGCTCTATAGAGTAAACATTACTGGAATATTAAACGTTGACGTTTTCGGAAATCGCGTCATGCCATCGGACCTGAGCCGTCGTCGTTTATTATGTTCTTCGTACTATGCGTGTACCATATTTTGCATGGTATACGTGGACTGACGATACCTACTCATGACATTGTAATTGTTATTTGGTTTTTACTTAGCGACACAAGCGCCAGAAAGGCTAATACGTGGTATAGTCGCCACGATCGAACGATTATTACGTAAGTAACTATTTTTATTATGAACATATTTTATTAGACCCCGAATTCACCAAATAAATTCCACTTCCTCTAACCCTCTTTCACCTCAACCCCTAACCCACCTCTCATCATAAATCGTATCGCGTTTACTTACGAAGTTCTTGCATATCTTATCGCGTGTTATTTGTAAAAATCTCGAGAACTGTTCGATCAGTGTTGACCGAAAGTAGCTCTCTGGCAACGATAAAGAACCGAACTAATCTCCCTAATCCAGGTTAAGCTGTTTTTGAGATTTTTCGTTAAGTATTATACAAACAGACATCGCTGTTTAAATAATAAATAAGATAAGAAGATAACGTTGGTATATGTTAGGACATAGGTACAATAAGAAAAAAAAAAAATGAAATAAAACAGCATATTTATTTTATTATAATATAATTATGTAATATATTTGTTTTATAACAAAATTAAATAATAATTTTTACGACCTAAATAATCTTTGAATGACTAGAAAAAAAAAAGACAATAATATAATCAAATAAACTACTACGTTATCATCGGAGTAAAATTAAAAAATAAATTATATTTATAAAATTGCGTGATAAATAAAATATCTGTAAACAATAGTTGTTGTTAAATCGACGAAAGTTAAACGGCTCCAATTTTAAAACCTGAAAAAAACAACAAAAAGCTCACGTTAATACGTTCTTCAAAAGACAAAAAACAGATCACTGAGCTTATTATTGAATGGTGTTGGTGAAAAAAAAAACCCGATTGTATAAACGACAACATATTATTAATGGACGAATTCGAAAATACGGATTTTTTCTCGTGGGCTATCGAAAAACATGTTCAATTGATTAGGTTAATCGAGGAAAGGGGGGAGAATTATTTTCCACGTTTTTCGTGTTTTCGTAATGGATCATTCCCGGCCCAAGGGTGCTTAGATATAATGGTGGGCTCTGGACAGCACGAAATCTCTGAAATCTCTTTTTATCACGTCCGTCAAAGTCGTTGGAACTGCAAAATTATGTATTATCTAGTTAAGAAAGCATTCTAAAATAAATCTAAATAACTGTTTAAATGTATGAATAATTGCTGCGACAGTGTAAACGCGTGGTGAACGATAAAATTACGTTGAACTAATGTATATATTTGTATGAGTTTTTATGAAAGAATACTAATCGTAATATACGAGCCGAATTACAAAATGATAATATTATAAGATGGATAACCAAATAAAACAAAATGTTTTTTATTACCAAACCACTAACTCACCTGTTGTACGGTACATCGAAATAAGGATATCGCGACCGCTTGCCAATCTCTTTGGTTTTTTGTTCGTTTGATTTTATCATCGCGTTTATATTATTATTCTGCTGTTTGCCTAGTTGATTCATTAGCGCGTTTATGCTTCCGATCAGGCTCATCGGTTTATTGGTATTCACCTCCATTGATTCTACCATGCCCACAGATTTTTTCTAAACGAATTGCAAGGCACGACCGTTAGTCAGGTACAATTAAGTAATAATACATTTTTATAATTTTTATTATGACGTAATTCTAAATCCGAAATCCGAAATTCTAAATTTTAAACCAACGATACGAAAAAAATATTTATAACATGAAAACTTTATTAGAATCTTAAACAAAAGATCTATAGCGAAATTCGAGAAGTCGAAGGTTTACTTTCAAGTATCTGATTTTGTTGAAGTCTTGGAGAAATAGACACGCAAAAGTCGTCACTGGTTATATTATATAATAGGTTACTGATTAGGGTAGGCTAGGTTATATGAAGTAATTATATATGTACTTACGTCGACGAGTTCCGAGTACTGAATTCCGGGATTGTACCAGACCGTATCCTGTTGTAACATAGGATCGTAAATCATAGCGCCGTCGCAGCACAATGTGAGGGTCACTGTCAGTGTCCAAACTAATGTCAAGGGTTTCATCATGGTCGTTGGTTTCGTATTTTTCACTATAATGACGCAGTACTTTGACGACAAAGATTCTAGAAAACTTTTTGATAAAAAAAAACAAGTTTTTGTTTTTTACACTGTCAGACAAAGGTAAAAGGGACGACACCCAGAGTGCACGTATGTATATGCATTATTATAGGTAAACCGAGCGGGTAAATTACAATTATTTTCCGAATCATCCATCGTCGAGTTTGGTTTTTAGGAAAACTCGTTTGTTTTCGTATGTCCGTATTTTATTTATCGTATCGTGTGAAGAGATTATCTAGCGTATTTGTAGTACTTGTATTTACTATTACCCGATCGATTGACATTCATATTCTTGAATGGTTCTATACTCAGCAATCTGCGGTCGTTTAGTCTTGAGTAGTGTAGACTCCCTATTCGTTTAGTCTTGAGTAGTGTAGACTCCCTATTCGTATGGTCAGTAAAAGTATGAAGATGAGAGAAATAGGAGAAAGGGGTTTTCAAGCAAGAAACATTAAAGTTTTAACATGTATATTAGTTAAAAATGTGTATCGGTATCATCACGATATCTAGCTTGAATATTTTGTTCCTGCAAATTGTTTACCAATGCGGTAAAAGTAACCAATAATAGTAACAATAACACCACGTCAAAACTCTCATATTCATAACAATGAAAAATGGTTCTAAATATAAACTATTTCTACATTTTAAATTTACATTATTGGCTGAGGTTTAATGATGAAGCGGAGCAACGACATATTAGTTCAGTAATAACATGAACGATCGAGTTTTTTGGCCTAAAATTAGACAGTCTTATCAGCCAAACAATTGAATACTGTTTCTATTTTTCATCAAAATTTATTTCCAGTAGCGTATAGTAAACCGAATACTATATCAGTAAAAATTACAGTAATGGTTTTAAATTGTAACTTGTAATCATAATATAAATTAGTATAAACACGAAAAAAATTACAAAAATTAAAATGCAGTTCGACTAGAAATCGTATAATAAAAAGGACGTTATTTTCGTTTTTATTTTCCGACGAGTTTGCCCATACAAGATCAACGAAAAACAAGTATAAAAAACGCTCATTCACTAAAAGATTTTTAAAATGCCCAACGGTAAGATAAGTACTTTAGTTGCTCTTTCACCCGAGGGCTTCGCGAAATAATGTAACGATGGCTACAGCATACGACTACGTGCAACTGCTTGAAAATGCACACCGTTTAATTGGACATGATAATTGTTTGGATATTCTTGGAAGAAAAAAAAAATTATAAAGTGATAACTCGAAAACAAAACACGGTCTATTTGGAAAATAATTCATATTATAGCAATATAACAGCAGATACGGGGGAATACGTAGTTCTTGTCCCATTAATTTTGCCAATACCTGTTACATGTGTTATAATGGTTATTGTTTATCGACAGCAACGAATAAATAATGACCGACGACGGTCAATATACTCGTGTAGTAGTGACACACGTTAATAATTACTATTTGACACCGTAAAACAAAATAAACATGCGTTATACTCTAATATAATTATTATTTTATAATCGTACATGAATGCACGGGTTTTAATGAGGTTTGTTTTCAAAACGGAAAAAAATTAGTGAAACATTTATTATTGCACAGACCAAAAAAACCTTTACAACTATCATTACTTATTTATATTTTTTCGGTTTCCTTAAAAAGTTCGTGAATAATATTTATGGTGTACCTACGTTTTTTAATGTCATTTCAAACAATAAACTTTTTGGTTCATTTCCCTCACTCAGACCACTGTCACCAGCAATCCTATCTGAATATATTTAGAAGCTTAGACGCTGTTTCATCAATTATTTCAAAGCTTTTCAGAAAATTACGTATTCTAACTAGATGAATCTCCATCACTAAACACCATTCGTTTGTCAGTGTATTGACGGTCTAAACGAAAACTTGTCTTGACGGTAGATTACCGATCAAGTGCTTATCACCTCACAGTGTACTTCATCTGGACGCCGAGGTCACCTAGTTTGATACCTAGCAATTTTAGTTTTTGAGTAGAGCGATGAAAATATTGGTTTTATTATGATGTTTATTTTTTTTTTCTGTGGACAACTTTTCTACCAGGAATTTTGTTCCGATAACAAATGTAGCATATATTCTGAAAGGAAATCTGACTAGTAAGGTATTTTAAAGAGATCGTTTTTTGATTTTCCCATAAGTTTCTCAATAAATAGGAAAAACCAAGAAAATATAAAATGGGTACAACATTATACAAATATTATTAAAGAAAATGTTCAATGCTTATAGGCATGTAATTTTTTTACCACAATATGACATAAATATTATTGACAAAGCAACACTATCAACCGAACTCTGCAAAGAATCGTTTTTTCTTTAGCAATGATTAATCTTTGCGTTCAGATATACATTCAATTTCTCCTCTACTACCTTCTCAACTTCTCACCTACAACAGTAGTCCACCCACGTGCGAAGTATATCTGTCTTTTTTCCTCTAAAGTTTTGAGTAGGGTAAGGTGTACAAATCATTATTACCGAATCATATCAACAGATCACTACAGCAGTGAATAATATGATCATACCTGGTATAATTACGAGTACGTAAAATTGTTATACGAAAACGGCAGTTTGAGTATCGATTCGATATCGTTCGCGTCACTAGCAGTATTTTATCTGTACTTGTATATTTAATTTGTATCTCTTATCATATAAATAGATACACAATAATAAGTTATCAGAGCCACTATTTAAGATAAATCTTTTCAAATTGTAGTTTATAATAAGATATTTATTAGAAACTATAGGTAAAATACCTATTTAATTTAGAGTAAATTAGTTATTAAATTTCATAATAACTTCACACAACTTTTCTGAAATAAAAATGTGTACTAAATCTGGTACACTTTTACTCCTTTTAACAATTAGCTCTATAATAAATAGCGAGAAGGGAAAATATTTACGAAGGTTATTATACCAGAGATAATATTTTTAATATTAATGTGAAATTCAAGTAATTTCGAGATTGATTGAATGAATTGGGATTATATACCGATATCTTTGGTATAGTGTTTGGTAGTTTTTAAACTTGAACATACTAAAAGATTGAACACTGAGGAACACCTAAAAACTTAGGCATTAAACATGATTGTAGACATAATGTATATCTATTATATTTGCATAAAAAGTTAGTGATTATTATTTAAGACAAAATAATTGTATTCGCAAATGTGTGAAATTCACGATTTCATAAAATAATATGTATTATGTCATTCAGAATTATTAAGTGTTTGTTTTTGGCATAAATCGTGAGGTTATTATCATCATTATCTATAGTATCAAATCAAAATTCATTCGAAAGTTTCACTTTTGGCTGTACAACTGAGTAATTTTATATATTATCTTTATAATACTCATCGGAGATCTATATATATATAAACATTAAAAGATTAAGATTAATTACATCAGAGATATGGATTAAATAGGGTTTATATTCTGTCTTACTATCACCGCCCTTAACTGGAAAAACAAATTAATACATAACCTTATATATTAAATATGTACATTAATGGAGTTTTAAACGACTGCAGCAAATTTTAGTTATTTTCCTAAAGTTTTCTATAAACGCGATTTTATAATTTTATAAAATGTATTTATTTATCGTATTGTTAACATTAATTTGTTTTGTATTTTCATTAAGTATAAAAGTATCATGTTGTTTAATTTAATAAATATGTATTTGTCTAGGATAATATAGGTATTTTCATATTCCATTAATTTATAGAAATATCTGTAGTGTGCTTTTAACATTTCCCGGCTTGCTACTGAAAATATTTACTGACCCACATCCCAAAGGCCGATCAACTTGAAATTTTCATTGAATGTTACATAAACTCGTATGTTTGATAACAACTCACAATTTCAATGGTCCAAAAACAAAACCATGCAAATCGAACTGAGATTATTGTTTTCCCATTGCAACGGTCAGTTTTAAAATTAATAAAACAATACAATATCTATAGGTATGGGTATCGAATGCCCGGCGCGTCATAGCAGAAGAGTGCTCAAAACTCGAACAATATGTTCACTATGCAGTAAAAAAAAAATTACAGCGACTTTTGTCAACCGTTGTCTGAACCAAATAATCGTATACATTTTTTTTTAAATATATATATATATATATTTAAAAATATTTTTATATAATTTTTTGTATCATTTGTGTATAACGTGAAGGAAAAAAGATGGAAACAATATTATTTTTAAAATAATACAGAATTGAAAAATCGGGAACTATAGTATATTGCTTGGAAAAAACCTATTGAGAATAGAACAATATAATGTATATAGAGTAGTAAATTAGTTGAGGGAGTTTTTTCGTTTCGAAAATGCCCATATAAGGCTTGCTCAAAAAATTATTCCGGCAGTTTTTAGTGTAGGGGAAGAAAATTGAGAGAAAAGTCCAACCCTTACAATACTACGTTTATTATTAATATAATAATTAATAACTCGCATGACAAAAAAAAAAGCTCAGGCCTCATTCAATAAAGTGAACTTAATAATGGTTATTTTTTGTCTGTTAAGTAATTTTTAATTATTTGTATACAAATAATAATGTTCTAATAAGTCTTAACGTAATTTGTGTAATTCACACATCACCCGAGACTTTGTATTTCCTCCAATATGTTGTGGTCCCTGAAAAGGCCTAAGTCATTTATTAGCATTTCTGATCTGAATGGTATGATCTGATGTACCTGTTTTCAAAATAACATTATAAATATATGTAATTTCAAAATTATATTTGTTTGTTTGAAAAACAAAATTAACCTAATCACTTCTTTTTGGGATCAAAGAGTTTTATTAGCACTTTTTAGGCATAGCTCAATTTTAAAAACATACTAAACCTTTTTTAAGATACATTTGGCTCATGCCATTTAAAATTGTCAACAATTTTAGCATTTATTTAGTTTTATGAGCATATACTAGTGTTTAATTCATTAGAAATTT